GTTGAGCGTATATCAGATAGCTCTTCATGTTTTGGAACATGTGATTCTTAACGTTCTTTGATGAAAATGACGTAGATTGAGAGAGCGAATTTTTACATATTGCATAGATAGGTCTTAATGTCATAGTAGAAAAATATACAATTTCGAGTACGTGCTCAAAATACTGAAACTCTAATAGAGACAAACATACAATACTGTAAATACGTTTAATGAATAAATTTTCTAGATACCTGTATACATATTATGATTGATTTCTTATTTTCTTCCTCAATAGTTCGGTTTCGTTCATAAATGGCAGGAACTTCATGCGTAAAAAACATAAATACATTTCTAGATACAAAATTGGTTAAAAACTCTATATGTTGTGCATGTCAAAGTGAATACTGTTGACACAAGGAGTAGTAGACGATTCACTCAGTAGAATAAATGGTTGATTTTTAGAGAAAAGAAGAAAGCATCTGAAAAACCAACTCATTAAATAGATGTCGTCTGTCTACAGAAAGACGTTGTTCTTTTCTCCCATACGTATTATTGCCATGGTGCTTGTCGTCGAGATCTATTTTCCTGCTTCTATTCACGGTTTTCGTTCAAGACTATCGGATTGTTGTAAATTGAGTAAACGATAATCCAAGTATGACTGACAATGGAAACGTAATGAGATCAAGATATGAACAGGCAACAATTGATTCTTTTCTAATCCAACAAACAAATGATCAGATTTTATAGTTTCGTGATAATTTTATCATTTTTGATATAGAAAATATTTATAGAGTACTTCTCAAATATTTCTATTCGAGTGGAGAGTGTACCGGCTCCTAGAAAAGAATCACTATAATAAAATCATGCATAAGATCTGACAAATATTGTTATTCATTCAATGTAGCCAAATAAATCAGACTCGTTTCTCTGTCATAACAGAGTCAATGTCATGCACGACAACAGAATGACGAAAGAAAAACAGAATTGCAAACTTCTGCTTGTCGAAATTTTTTCTCGCTTTCTCATGTTTCTTATGTCGATGTTTTTGCACTTCTCGTCTATATTTGATCGAGAAAGAGAAGCAGAAAAAATCTTATTTTTTTTCAGTAATTGTGTCGTTCACCTTAAAGCAAAAATCATTTTCGTTCCAATTCATACATGTCACTTGCTACTTTTGAATCGTTACCTAATGAAATATTGATCGATATTTTCGAGAAATATATTAATGGTATTGATCTCCTCGTTGCATTCGCGTATCAACTCAACAGTCGAATCGATGCTCTTATTGGTCAATGTCAAAATCTGCATTTTGATTTTACCAGCATTCATAAAAACGATTTTCGTTTCTGTATAGGTCTTCTTCCAGCCTATGTCGATAGAATAGAAGACCTTACATTATCGGAACAAGATGCACCTGGTCAGATGCATGCATTCTTCTCTTTTCTGCCGTTATTCAATCAATTTAAACGACTTCGTAAATTTAATTTACAAATTGATAGTAGCGCTTTGAATTGGCGACAAACTGTGGCAACATTTTATTCGTTATCAAACACATTAATACACACGATATCAATCAAACTTGTTAATTTTACAAACGAACAACAATTAACTATTTTAAACATAGTTTTCTCCACGGAAATACTTAAACGCATTGTTCTGGATTTTGAAATCAATACACACAAGAATCCTTGGATTTTTTCTTTCGTCTCTTCGAATATCCTACATTTGACAATTAATGATCTTTACAGTGTACCAATGTATTTCTTTACAATTTTGAAATCTTTTCCAAATTTGAAATATTTGAAATTAGAAATGAACACACCTATCATAAACATTTCTACATCTCACATGCCACCATATGCGCATGAATCTCATGCAAATATCATGTTGAATCTACGTACTCTCATATTAAAATTTAACAAACGTTGCACGCCATCATTTTACTTGCTACAACAATGGCTGAAAATTATGCCCAACCTACACTATCTTGATATTTGCTCAAGCAGTAAACTTTTAAACTGTAGTATTTGGGAAGATCTTATCAAAACTTGTTTACGACAATTGACTTATTTCAATCTTAAAATAACCATCAATTCTTTAGAAACAAACGATGTTCTCAATAAACTTGCATCGTTTCAAAATGAATTTTGGCTTCAAAATAAACATTTCAATGTAATAATGACAACGGAAGATTTCACAGACACTTCGCACCGTCCTCAGCCCTTCGGATGTTGGACAGTTCCCAATCGTGATAGTTCAGCATCGTTGGATTGTATGACAAACATAAGACTGTTCGATGGCTATCCGTTACTATCAAATGAAAACTTATTCAATAATGTTAAATCTCTTGAAGTTTCATGTCTTAATAGCAGTTTTTTTCAATGGATAATGAATTGTGTTAATTTATCCACGGTTACAACACTTAACTTGAGGAAGATCGATGTTGAAGATGAAGAAATCGGTTTACTCTGTAACTGTTTGACTAATATCCACTCGCTTGGAATTAACTTCAACGATTTGATACTATTTTATCATCAAACGTTGAAAATGAAAAGGATTCAATTACGACGACTTGATATTTCATTGAGCTCTCACTCATTCGACGACAATGATATTTATACTCTCGCTCATACGTTTCCATCGATTGAACATTTAAAAATTAACACAGAAGATCTATACAATATTCCGCAGTTGAGTATCTATTTGCCGTATCTTCGTAGTTTATGTTTCGAAAACTGTCGTATAGTTCAATTCGGAAATCTCAATGCAGATGACAAGATGACGTTTATCAAGCAATTTTACAATAAAACTCAATTTCTTTTTAAATGTGATGATCTATATACAACAGTGTGGATTGACCAAAGTGCATTGAATGAACCTTTTTGGCGGACTTTTTCGAAAAAACGATACCAATCAACCGAACAGAACTCTATCAACGAACCGACATACATCAATCAGACTGAGCAGCCTGTTCATATCAACGCCAACAAAAAGAATTTTAGTCAAAAGATGAAAAAATTGTTTCGACGAGATAAGAACTAAATATCTTGAAAACAGTTCAGCGAACTGTCAAAATAACAACACATTTTTTGATCAGAACACTTTATGTGACAGACTTGTTTGTCTTTATTGAAATAAACTTTTTGAATAATTATAACAACAAATATCGATAGATGACCATTTGACCATATCAAAGAAAATGGTGGACATGCTCGTAAAGTTGCGTGAAGTTATAAAAGAATATTTGGACCCACAGTAACAAACAGAAATTTCCAAGATTACTTTTCCACATTCTTGCTCAACTGAGTGTGACTTGCTATGTTCATCCTCAGACTTTATGTATATCAAATCTTACTCTAGATTTGAACTTATCCATCAATGAATGTACTACTTAGTTAGATAAGATAGTTTTTGTTTGTCGGAAGAAAAAAGAAATATTTAACTATCGAATTATCGAGTGAATTTGGTTTTCGTTGAATATATTAAAAAAAAACAACAGCGTTACTCATATGGGAATATATATTCGTTTTCTTTTCGTCTTCAGAATCATAGTGCATGGATTCAAAAGATCCTTAGATGCCATTTTCGACGTATGTTTGACTCAATCAAGCCGAGTCAGAATGATTTAGAAAGAATTATGTAACATATTCAATCATATTCTTTCTACCATATTTCAAAGGAATGAATAGGTTCGTTTTCTGAAATAATTTTTGATCGAAAAAGGCTTGAGAATATGTCGACCGTTTTATACTCAGGTTCTGTTTGTTTTATTGCGAATCAGTGACGATTTTCTCATTGAGAAAAAAAAACTTGTGCAGATGTAACTGCATCATGGTGAAGCAAAGATTTATTGAATTTGTACTATCATATGGTCGAAGTGTGATAGAATTCAACATACGGCTACTTTGCTATGGCAACCTGTTTACTAAACAAGTTTCCAGTCAAGTGTTATTTCTATAATAATCAATTATTCTTTTTACATACTCAATTTCAAATCGATTCGTTGAAACGAATTTGAGCTTGTTTGTCAATGAATCGAACCTGAACAAATTATTTCACTTGCATTGTCCGATGATGACGACACACTGTATCAAATTAAATTCTTCTTATCTCATTTTCAAACACAGCAGTTTAGCAACCTTCGATCACTCCCTTTGGTCAATTTTGTTCAATTTAATTCATTTTCAGAATCTTTTTTTTGTTCTTCCATAGCACTTCGACTAAAATAGAGGCATGGAGTATATCTCTTGATGATCTCAATGTGCATGAAATTCATCAATCAGAAGTCAATATACCAATATTTACTCAACTGAGTGATGTGAGATTAGATCACAGGAATTCTTTGAAATTGGCATCACTTTCTCAAATATCTGTCTCATACTGCACCACAACTTAAACTACTCAATATTTGTCTTCAATGTAATTCAAGAACTAAAGCATTTTTTTATTCATTCAATCATCTCACTGGGCTCTTACTATAGAGATTTTATGTTTGTGTATTCTCGTCTAGTAAATTTGAACAGAAGTTTATCAGACCTAATAAATATACTAATCTCATTTTGAATGGGTGCGAGTGCGGGTGTGGGTGTCGGGATGGGTGTGGATGTGGGTGTGTGTGCGGATGCGGGTGTCCAGTGTGGGTGTGGCATGTAGGTGTTAATCTTCTCTTTATTCATACTCACACCCGCATCCACACCCCACACTGCCCACACCAACATTCCACACTACCTACACCGACACCCAGTACTACACCTTATTTTTTTTCAGTGTAGAGCCTATTTTACTATAAGTTCTCAATAGTTCTTATTTTTCCTATGCCAATTTTATCTGCTGTAAGGTCACGTCGAGCAAGATTACATGATATGTTACTCAAAGGAATTCCATTAATCAAACGATTATGAATTGTAGTAGTATAGCACGAAGAAATTGATCATCATTCCAGAATGTAAATAAAACAAAACGCAGCAGAGTTTATTTCTTCCAAAAAATACTTTTATTTGATATAAAAAACAAAAATTATTTTAAACATATTGGTATTGTTCATTTAATGGAGGAATATTATGAAGAATATTCGTTACAAATGTTATTTCTTCATCGGATGGATTTGTACTAACATTTTTTATGGATGGTACTTCAAGTATTTCAACATAAGTGCTTGGTCGTTCTTCGACATTTCTTTTCAGTCTAAAAAAGAATAATAAGTATTGAAGAACATACAACGAGACAAAACATAAAATAAACGTACAAATATGTAATAAGATGTTTCATATCATTAGAAATTTTAGGATTTGTTGGTACTGTTGGAATCCATGATCGAATTGCTATCATTGTTTGAAATGAATTCATATTTGCAAATGGTTGTTTTCCAACAATAATTTCAAACAAACTTAATCCTAATGCCCACATATCAGCACGAATACCATATGGTTGAGCACTATCAGAAATCAATTCAGGCTATTTTATTCCAATAAATAAATAAATAAATGTATATATATTATGATTTCAAATACCAACAAAGTCTATTTGACATACTGGTAAATATGCTTCAGTACCTTGAACAGTACCAATACCTACTGATTTTGATAGACGCATTTGTCGACTAATACCAAAATCGCATAATTTAAAGACTGCTTGCTTATTAACAAGCATATTTTGAGGTTTAACATCACGATGTAAAATTCGACACGTTTTGAGAAAATGCAATGCTGATGTTATCTATTAAATAAATAAATATTAATAGTTTGTAATAATAATTATTATTAGAAAATATATTACATTATGAGTTAATCTACATAAAACATGATCGAGATCGGTATATGAAACACTATCAAGTGAATGCATTGTGTGATAAAATCTCTCCATTGATGCGTCCATTAATTCTACACAAATAAGTAATTCACCAACTTCCTTTAAAATATAATATTAAGAAGTAAAAATATCAAACGTTGAAATATAAGTTTACACGGGTATCGATGACTGCTCCATAGTAAGAAATAATATATGGATAATTTTTTGAACCAACATTTTGAATTGTTGTTAAATCTGTATATGTAGATGCTTGACGTTCTTCTTGTGTTTCAAGTTTTATTTTCTGTAACAAAAAAAAATCATATACGTATATGTAATCACCAATATCTACATGAATCTATTACTTTCACAGCCATTTGAACATTTGGATGGTCTTGAATAGTTACAGCAAGTACAGTTCCATAACATCCAGATCCAAGTACTCGAAGAGTATCAAATTGTTCAGTAGTGGTTTCAATAGTTTGTCCATCATAATGGAGCGTTGTCATTAATGAAGGTACTTGAAGACTATTTATGTAGTTTTTTTAAAATAATAAGACGATCATGAAGAGAAAAAATATGTATATTCACGTGTAAGTTGTCGCTTCTTTTTTTTCATCAGTTAAATCAGGACACGTAATTGTGAATTTACCTAAAAAAATAAGGTGTTAAGTATCATTTGAAATCTATAATAAAATTTCAATAATACTTATCTCTGAAAACTCTGTTTATGCTTTATATAATAACTGTAAGGACAAAAAAAAACAAAAAAAAATAAATTTTCATTTACTTACCCCTTCTTCTTCTTTCTGGCCTTCGTGGTGCACCAATTTGTGGGGCGGCCATTTATATTGCAGTAATGTTTTTATGTATAAAACTTAAAAAACAAAAAAAGTGTGTTATGAATGATTTGATCTCGAGCGTTTATATAAAAAAATAAATAGCACATTTCAATAGTTTACATAAGACGTATCACTATGAGAACTCTTCAATATGAGCAAATCTTTTCAAAATATTTTTTTAAAGTCTCTCGTTCTCCTATATCTATATATTTATATGCTCACATACAGCACTTGCGAATAAAGTACTATGGTATTTTGTTTCTTTTCTGTTCTCATCTGAATATAGAGGAATAAAGAAAAGAGGGAAGAAAGCGAACACACAATCTTGTTTGCTGCAAAAAAAACCTTGCTACGTCTAGATGACGCCTCCTTTTTTATTATTGCACAAATAAACCTTGCATAGAGTGCTGGTACAATTGATAATAACCATTTGAATCTTAAACTTAAGCTTAAATAATTAATTCAATGATATTTTATTAAATATTACAAATGTTGTTATATTAACGTACCAGCAGGAAAGCAAAACTCAAGTAAAAATTTTCTTTTATGTTTTTACGTCACTTGATAGAATTCGAGCTGCTGATAACGAATATCTACGTTTCAACCTTAGAAAATATTTACTTTCGGTCGAAAAAAACCCAATACTCCAAAGGTATCGTTTTCTGAGAAAAACACATTGTGACTAATCACCTTCCATCTCTCTTCCGAGCACGTCATGAGGTCACAACTTGAAGAGGGAAATGGGATATTCAGTAGATAGAAAAATAAAGAAGAAGAAGGAAGCACGAAAGGAAATATGTCGTTACACATATCAGACATTTAATATAGATAATGGTAACATACGCAAAAGAAGTACAATAATTATTACTACAACCATTAATGTTATATGATAATCATTATTTTTTTTCTTATTTATTTTCTCACTTAAGCTTTGTTTCTGGCGTTTTGTTTCAATTAAATATTGTATTATTGTTATATTGCTACATGTTAGAGGTTCTTCAGAAATAATGTTGTCCAATGGTACTGATATGATTGCTGAAGCAGTCTTCATTCGTAAAACTTTCTATAATAACAAAATAATTCGAAATGATGATTTAAACTGATCAGTTTCCAATCCTGAGAGTGATATCATAGCACTAGCGCTCATCAACATTCTTTGTGACTTTCTCATGTGTCTCAATGATTTTTCTTCTTCTTTACTTGATTATTGATCAGACTGTGACTCTTTTGTAGTATGATTAGCTTTTCGTTAGGTATGATATTCCTTCGTTATTATGATATCTTCACATGTTGTTTCTCA